GACTGTCGAAAGCGGGATTCCCAAATTCTCCGAAATTTGCCGCTGACTTATTCCACCATCTGCTTGACCAACTATCCTTCCTCTAACAAAATCTGACAATTCGAGAGAATCTTAAGAAGTTCTTAAACTTGTTCCTAGCTAAAAAAAAATGTAACAATAAGCTTCATATAAAGATAATGCTATTATCGTCTTATGTATATCACTGCCTTAAAAATTGTGATTAAGAAGTTAGCACACAGGATCACATACAAAAGTTGTAATGATTTTCAGACGATACCCAAATTTCGAGCGCTTTCGAATAGTTCACTGTTCTTCTTTAGAAGATTTGGGTATCGTTTGAAAACAATTATTGTCTTTAAAATATATTTTTAAGACGTTGTATCTTTAATAGAGAAAATAAGAGTTTATTTTGCATGTGAAACTAGGTATTCTTGTTTTTTGGATAAATACAAATCATCGCTCGAGACGCTTGACAGCGATGTTGATTCGGTAGTAGTTCAGGTTTGGGCTAAGAACGCATAATTGTATATATTCAACTCGGATTCCTTTAATTACACATTTTTCTTTGGTAAATGAGATTTTTGAAAAATGGCAGACTGTCAAAAATACAAATAAATCGCGAAGTTAACTTGTTTTATAATCTTGTCGTGTTTGGTATTTTTTCGTGTTGTGCGTGACCTGGAAGAGTCAGGTACTATTTAGACCTCTTCTCCTTTTCTTTATAGTTTTGGATGTTTACTGTCAAATGTTATATTAAGATATGTGGGTCATGTTCATGAATATTATACTATAGAATTTAGAGCCAATTATCAATTCTATTCATTTGGTCGTTATACGCTCGCAAACAGTTCCATTAATAAATCGTCACATTTTCACCTGATCACATTATCGAACTCATATTTGACATAAAATACACTTTTATTAACTTAATCTAAGCGATATATTTAATGTCCAAAGTAGGTGGGCTTGTTCTTATAATACATACTGAGTGGTGAGAGATACTTAGGACTATCATCATGGTGTCTAATATAACGATCTATGGAGGTTAATAAATCATTTTTGTATAGATTTTTATTAAAATACTTGAACGAGCAATCTAGGAGTCTGTCATGGATTGGTTGTATATTTGCATACTTATGCATGAATTTAGAATTTGTTGTTCTGAGTACTCTATAAGCTTTAGTAATTACTAAATGTTGCATTTTTTGTAATTTATTAATACTGAACGGTGCTACATTACTCCATGCTGAACTGGCATATTCAATTACTGAGTGTGTATATACTGTTTATAGATTTTGATGATATTTTCAGGTAGTGTACTGTTATTTTTACCCGACAGTCTCCTAGCATAGTTTGCTCGCTGCCATACTTTATTTGCAATTTGGCTGATATGACTTCTTCATGTTAATTTCGAATCATACGCTAGTCCAAGAAAGTTTGTTGATGGGGCGGTATGTAGAAGAGTTCCATGTAGGTTTAATTACATTTTGTGTCTAGCGTTTTATTCTTCTTGGTAATAATACCATATTAGTTTTGGGAACATTTATTTTAATTCTATGTTATCTACAGTATTCAACTACATGGTTTAGTACTGAGTGTAAGAGTTTGTGGCGACTATTGAGGGGGTCGTGGAACTCTTCCATTTCGTCATATCACCTACAAATTGAGATGTTATACAAACATTTGGATCCGTTAAGGACATGTCACTTACATACACGATGAAGAGGATAGAGCTAACTACCCTTCCCTAGGGAACACCAGCCTCAGGAGTAAAATACTCTGAGGAGGTGCCCTCCAGATTCACTCTACATTTTCTATTATCTAAAAAGTTAGATAACAAGAGAATAACACCTGTTGGTAATTACATTTGTTTCATGCGGTATCGTAGTCCGTTATGCCATACAGTACCGAATGTTTTCTCTATATCGAGAAAGTAGGCGACAGTGCACTTGTTTTGGTTAAAGCTACCTATTATGGTTTCAGTTTTAACCTTACTAAAGTATCCGTGGCTTGCCGAAACTTTTTGAAACCGTTTTGCACTTCGGGTAATTTTGATGTAATCTCTAGGAATGTTGAGAGTCTAAATATGCTTTTTAAAATTATGCCTACACAACTGGTCGAGCTAATCGGACGGTAGCTTTCTGGTTTATTCACTGGTTTTCCTTCCTTTAGAAACATGAGAACATTTGCTTGCTTCCAAGAAACTGGAATATAACCTAAGTTGAGGGATAAATTAAACAATACAGTTAAATAGTTAAACCGTTTCTGGGTGCCATTTTTTTTAGGAGAATGGCTTTTTGTATGCTAGTATATGCTATTTTGTTTTGATAATTAAATGTTGGATAGGTTTTATAAGTGTTAAGCACAAAGTTACACAATGGGTTATCTGTTATACCCGGCCGTTTAACAAGTCAACTGCAATCTCTCAATGTTTCTATTAACAAACCCTTTAAGACTTTAATGAGAGAGGAATGGAACAACTGGATGCAGCAGGAAGATTTTGCTATGAACCCTACAGGACGAAGGAAGAGACCGACGCTTGCTCAAGTCTGCATGTGGGTGAAGAATTCGTGGGAAAAAGTAAAAAGTGATATAGTGATTATGTCATTTAAGAAAGTGGTATCAGTAACGCAATGGATGGGACCGAGGATGACATTTTCGTTGACTATAATATTGGATCCAATGATTCCTTTCCAAGCGACAGTGAAAGCAATGAAGATTTTGTAGGTTTTGAACCAAACTAAATAACAGTAAACCTTTTTTTGATTTACGGTATTTTCTTATTTTGAGCTCTTTTGTGTTTAAAACAATATATACAAATTTTTGAGCCCCCCAGCGACACAGCGGCATGTCTGCGGACTTACAACGCTAGAAACCGGGTTTCATTACTCGTGGTGGGCAGAGCACAGATAGCCCATTGTGTAGCTTTGTGCTTAATTCCAAACAAACTAATTTTTAAAGTATCAAATTGAATTTTTGTTCAATAAAAATCTTTCAAATGCGACTGTAGCTTTTTTTCCCCAAAACTTTGTCTTCAAAATAAAGGTGCGTCTTATATTCCGAAAAATACGGTAATTCAATTTTCTGAACTACATTGTTTCGTTGTTATATCATCGAAGTTAAAAAAATATAAACAAACCTTCATGTTCAAAGCAGAGACTAAATTGAGAAATCAACAACTATTTTTTTCAAGTTTCGCTGTCTGGACATTTCATTTTACAGTTTCAGTACGTAGACAACAACGATATTAGGTCATACTTCTGTTGCTGGTAAAGTAAAACGGATTCAAAACCCCACAGCAGGCTCGCCGACGGGGGGCAACTGCCCAGGGGCCCGGGCGAATGAAACCTGGTAAAGCCCGCAAAGCATCTTTAGGCTATATCTTCATTTAATGATAAAAACCTCAGTTTTTGGGTTTTCTTTGCATATAGACGCT